ATTAGAAGAAGAGGCTTCTAATTTTTTAGTATGAGATTTTTAAAATGAAATTTTTCAGCTCACTCATGCTTAAGAATTTTAGCAGCCATTTGACTTGAAAGCTCTCTTGAACGCCTTTTCACAAATGATCTCCATAATTTCAATGAACGTGAACAAGACTAAACTTCTCGCTACAAAAGGGTTTACCATAGTGCACTGCAGGCTATGAAACATGGTTCACGGGAGCAACCTTAATTGAAATAGGTGTATACCATGATTCATCAAGAGACACGCCATTATAATTCCAAACGACCCTGGCTCAGTATTCATATAAGTTCTTACTTTTAGGGTTCACTGAGAACTTTGTTTAATGGTGTCAAAAGGTTATAGTACTGTTATTGGGTCCGTGAAGTGAGATTTCATTTCAATCTATCCCTGCACTCCTAGGAGTTATTTTAACTCTTTCCATGACAATGGGAGGGTTTTTTGCTCCGCGCAACACTGGCTAATCTACTAATTATTTTCTCAAAGGTACCACGACTCAGCAGTGAATAAAGTATGGCCAAAGAATATACCAAAGAACAATTAAATTATTTCAGAATTTGTTACGTAACAACTGATGTACTAGCCGACGGCCTGAGAGAAATTTTTAAAATAGAATGGGACAAACTCTACAAATCAACAAAAGGAGAATGGAGAGATGATCCTCGAAATGGATTTGACTTTTACATTGGAGAGTCACCACGTAACCAAAGAAAAAATGCTCATCTTTTGGCCACCATGAGAAATGGAAATAGAGAAGAATGGGATTGTACAATGCTGTTTTACGCTATCCTTTACTCTGATTGTGTCGGACCCAGCCTTGCCTCAACAGTCAGAAAAAATGTGGATGATCTAAGAAATTTTAGAAACACGGAATTCGCTCACATCCCTCAAGGACGTCTCTCTGACATGGATTTTAAGAATGCCATTAGCAAAGTTGATGTCACATTCCAAGCTCTTGGTCTGCCTACTGTAAAAATTCAAGAGATACAAAATCAGGCAACGTTTCCAACGAAACATTTATTAAACATCTTGAAAGAGGTTGACAATGTCAAGAAGGACCTCCAAGAAAAAGAGGATCAACGCCAGGTCCTTACAGACCAGCTAAGGAAAGAAGTGCCTTCATTCTGTATTCTCCCTCCTAAACCTGCACACGACATTGGGAGTCGCGATCGCGAGGTAGAAAAAATAGCCCAACAGCTGAAGCAATTAAAGAAGGCCAATTGCAACAGGTTGAGTTATTCATACATCTCAGGAAATCCTGGGAGTGGCAAATCCCAGCTAGCTGGTCTCGTGGCTCAAAGATTTTATGAGGAAGTGAAAGAAATGCCAAGCTCTTCTTCATTTGTAATGACTATAAACGCTGCCAGTCTAGATTCCCTTCTGGAGTCATATGCCAACTTCGCTCGTCAATTAAAGTGCCCGGACTATTCAGTGATGCAGACCCTGAGTTACAAGGAGTGGTCCATTGGGGACAAGATCTCCCATCTTAAGATGCTCATTGAAGCAAAAATTAACTATTACACGTCGTGGCTAATGATTGTTGACAATGTCACTACCCTTTCGTCTGTGCATGTTCACCTACCACAGTCAGGAAACGAGGCGTGGGCAAGGGGTCAGTTATTGATAACGACGCAGGATACAACGTCAATCCCCCTAGAAAGCTCTTTAGTTAATCACGTCTCAGTTAGTAAAGGTATGGAGCCAGACGATGCCAGTTGTTTATTGGCCAAGCTATCTGGTATCACCGACGGTGAGCTAGGGGCAGGGGTAGCAAAAAACTGGATTATCAGCCTCTTGCCTTAGCAGGGGCTGCCGTTTTTGTCAAAAACATTCGGCAGGACAAAGCATCAAGGCATTTTGGCTGGAAAGAATACCTAAAGCTATTAGAAAAAGGAAAACGACAAGTGACAGAACATACCCTTGCTGGTAAAAACTCTGCAGCTTATCCCAATACAATGACCAAAGCAATAACCTTAGCTGTCGAAACACAGGTTAAGTCTGACAAATTCGTCAAAGACCTATTCAGCTTATTATCGTTATGTGCACCACAACCTTTAAACGTTGACGTGGCAATCGATTACATTGCGAAAGCAAACGAAAACTTCGATAAAGAGGACAAGGAACTAATTCGCATGACTTTAAGTAGCTGCTCACTGCTACTTTTAGAAGAACAAAAGAATGGTTCTTTCATTCGTGTACATAAGGTTGTCCACGACTCTATCAAATCTGTGATGAGTGGCTATCAAAATAGTCAAACGTCTAAGATCGTAAGTCAAGCTGTTGATTCACTAAACCAATTTATTGTCGAAACTCAATTGGAGGAGAATAGGAGACTGGAAACTATGAACGTCATCCCGCACATCATTTCTCTTATTACAGTAATTGATCAACTTTTTTCCAGAGAGCGTGTATTTCAGGTCGAAGGAATGACAGCCGAAAAATTTAAAAACCTTGGCGAGATTTGCCGACTGCATTGTGAATTTATCGTCGGTAAGAAATATCTAGAGCATTCCGTCGCAATTCAGTCACGACTGCTAGGCGTCAATCACGTTGACGTTGCAGCAAGCTACACTGCGCTATCTTCAATTTACAAAGACTTGGGGGACCTTGAGAAAGCCAAGGGCTATCAGCAACATGCTCTAGACATCGAACTAGAAAAGCTTGGAGGTGAAAACGTTACTGTTGCAACAAGTTACAGCAAGTTAGCTGTAATTTTCATGGAACTAGGTGACCTTGAGCAAGCCGAAGAGTATCAGCAACGCGCTTTAGCCATCGAACTCGAGAAGCTTGGAACGGAGCATGTTTCCATTGCAACGAGCTATAACAACCTAGCTTTGATTCACAAGCAGTTGGGCAACCTTAAGCAAGCCAAGGAGTATCAGCAACAAGCCCTATCCATTCAATTAAAGAAGCTCGGCGCTGGACATGTTTCCGCTGCAACAAGCTATTGTAACCTAGCTTCGATTCATAAAGACTTAGGTGACCTGGATAAAGCAAAGAAATATCAACAACGTGCTCTTGACATCGAAAGCGAGAAGCTAGGAGCGAACCATGTTTCTGTTGCAAAGAGTTACACCATCTTAGCTTCAATATGCAAGCATTTAGGTGACCTAGAGCAATCCAAGGTGTACCAGCAGCGTGCTTTGGTCATCCAAGTTAAGAGGCTTGGCACTGAACACGTTTCTGTTGCAACGAGCTACAGTAACTTGGGTTCAATTTATAAAGACTTAGGTGACCTTAAGCAAGCCTATGACTATCAGCAAAGTGCGCTGGCTATAAAACTAAAAAAGCTTGGCGCTGAACATGTTTCTGTTGCAACGAGCTACAGCAACCTAGCTTTGGTTCACCTTCGACTAGCCAGAGAGTATCAACAACGTGCCCTGTGCATTCAAGGCAAGAGACTCGGTTCTCACCACGTTTCTGTGGCAACAAGCTACAATAACTTTGCTCTAATTTACAAGGATTTAGGCGACCTTAAAACAGCCATGATGTATCAGAAGCGTGCTTTAGCTATCAAACTGAAGAAGCTTGGTGCTGAACATTCTTCTGTTGCAACCAGCTACAGTAACTTAGCTTTAATACACATGGACTTAGGTGACCTTGGGCAAGCCAAAGAGTATCAGAAACGAGCTCTCAGAATCGAACTTAAACAGCTCGGTGCTGAACATATATCTGTTGCCCTAAGTTTTAATAACTTTTCTGTGATTCACCATCGATTGCATGACCTCACAAGAGCAAAAAAGTATCAACAACGAGCTTTGGAGATCAAACTCAAGAAACTCGGTCCTGAACATGTTTCAGTTGCAACGAGTTACAGCAACTTATCTTCAATTTACAAGGACTTGCGTGACCTTGAGCAAGCAAAGAAGTATCAGCAACGCGCCTTAGCCATCAAACTCAAGAAGCTTGGTGCTGAACATGATTCTGTAGCAACAAGCTACAGTCACTTAGCTACAATTCACCAGTGGTTAGGTGACTTTGAACAATTCAAGAAGTATCAGCTACTTGCTCTAGGAATCAAGCTTAAGAAAGTCGCCCGTTTGTGAAAACCAAATTACCCACGAGTATTTTTTATCCTCACGCATGCACATATAGTTTAGCAACTGTAAATTAATAATTTGGCTGTAAATTTACTACTAATCAGCCCTTTGATGTACAAAGGGATAGGCGCCGCTCTAACAAAGGTTTTCCCCAGCATTTTCAACATGACTTTAAACCAAAACCTCTTCTCTTTAGCGATCAGCCATTGTTCCTTTACACACGTGGCGTCAAAGAATGGTGACATTCCAATCCTTTCGTTAAAGTCATAACTTAAGTGACATCGAGACCCGGAGTGTCTGGGATAGAGGGTGAGGGGTGGTCTACTCCCGACTCCCTCTAAAGAATGTTTTTCTCTTATGGAAATAATTCATTTCGAGTCCAAAGGACCACTAAAATTTGATGTCCTTCATTGTCTTGAGGGTTGATATCTCTGATCACGTGTCTGATGAGCCATAATTGAGGAAAATGTGAAATGAGGCAAGGATTTTTAATTGCCGGGTCAGTGCCGGGTTGCTAAAAGTGCATGAATGGAATCCAAAGAGAAAGAAGAAAAAGAAAATCTTCTTCTGCTAAAAAGATGGATGTAACAAACTATACAGGTCACGCCACCTTTTTCCTTGTAAATTTAGTTGTTAACGTTAATGGACTTAGTTTTTTTTCGCAATTGGAACAATACCATTATTGTTTTCAACTCCTTGTAAACTAGACAAAGTGAAAATTTTCGCAATAAATAGAAAACAGAGAGATTCTCGAGCTGAAGGGTTGAATCTGCGTTGTTCTCAGGCGCCTAAAAGAACGTGCGAAAGTTTTAGGTTAAAAAAAAAACAACAACAACAGGGGTCTAGGGGTGGTTACTCCCCTTGAGATGTGACGTCATAAGTAGTTCAATTTTTTTGTTCTACAAAAAATGCAAGATGGTTAGATTTCTATATTATTTCTTTTCTTTTCTTTCTTTCGTTTTTTAATTTTGTGGAAACCAAGATCGCTATCAGAATTCCATTGTCTCTACTGTGATAGATATCAGAATAACGTGAAAAATGTTCAAACCCGTGCACATACCGAAGGCCAGTATTTTTACTCCACTTGATATTGCGGCTTGATTAAATCGGCATAATATAACATTTTGGAAACTTCCTTCTATGACAATATAACAGGCCAGAGGGGAAACAAGCTAAATGCTGTGGTTGCTGTTTCATTTTGATTCCTCTTTGCTGACTGGAAATAGCTGAATATAATTGAGATGAACCAAATGGAAATCAATGTCTGGCTTGACATTCTTTCTTCCAGAGTTAACCCTTGAACGTACAGGGAGGGTGGGTGGGGGGTGGTTACCACCCCCTCTCTGAGGTTTTTTTGATTTTTTTCCTAGACGATAAAAGATCAGCATCTGACTTTCGCAGTAGCTATTTGTTTATCCCCGCGCGCTTTGAAGACAAGTTTAGTGATGGCAGGAGTAATCGGCTCCTGATGATGGTCAGTCACTATGGTAACGGGGTATGACTTCATAAGTAGAAGGTGGTCAAGCCATTTTTGAGTGAAAATACATGTTTTTTCAACTTTTTTAACAATTAAAGTAAAACTTGTAGATGAAATGAAGCAAAGTGCTTATTTATGTGTTATTTTACACGTCAAGCACAAAAAATTACCATTTATCGCGATTTTAACGTGATTCTTGGCAAAAACTAAGATCGCGACAATTTTTGGTGACGTCACAGGCCTCCAGCAGCACCACCCCCCATGAAATATACCTCATCTTGTTTTGAATATCAAAGGCTTTCCACTGAAGGCAAAATCGTTTCTAAATACTGCAACATATCAAAAACTCTGGGGAGGGGTTCCTTCAACCTGCGGCCTCTCCCTTGTACCACGCTGGGGGTATGAATTTGCGTGTAAGTCCGAGGGTTGAGTAAGAAGGGAAATGTACAGGAAAATATGTCGCAAGCGTTATCGATATTTACATCGTCATGCCTCAACCTTCTTTGATTAATGACAACCAAACCGTCGCTGAAATATGCTGAGCAAGTGTAATTGGGTCAGCACAGTTCAGTATTGTTTGTTAATGGTCGGTCATACGTTAACCCTCTTCCGGCTAGGGTCGTACACGACCCATATGGAACGATGTATACATTCCTCGCTGGACCCATTTAGCTTTCAGTTTAATTTAATAAATTGGTAAGCGACAACGTCAGCGAAGATATATCTTTCCAGCGATACCTCTTTTTGGATATTCTGACCAATCCTGACAGAGTTACACCTACAAAAAAAGGTAATTACATTTTGGGGAAAAATCCGCTGCCAATGGGCCATTTGCACGACGACGTTATCTTACTTCTAAGAACAGAATCCTTCAGTGTTTTTCTTTCTTTTGCAAATTAGGGCTTTTGCTATTTAAACCACACTGGGATTAATAAATATAAATATGAAAAAAAAAAAAAAAAAACGGATTCTTGTCGTAGTAGTAAACATGTCGCCATGATAGAAATAGCCTATTTCGCTGCTTACATAGTTCTCCTTGAAAATTAAATTTGTCCCTTTCCTAAAAAGTTAGCCAGCCACAATTCCATGCAAAAGAAAGACGATAAAGTGGGCAACAAAACCACCAATAAAGAAAAAAAAGAAGGAAAAAAGGGAGAGCGAGAGAGAAAGATCGAAATAGATGGCAAAAAAAAAAAAAAAAAAAGTGAAAATTTTTTTTTTTGCGTCTTCGTAAAAAAAAAAAAAACTTTTTAATAAAGACAGGTAAGACAAAAAAAAAACTTTTTTTTTTTTTTAAAAACATTTTTTACACCCATCCACAACTATTTAACCCAAAAATATTACAAATGTAAGAAATTTACATA